CAGTTATGACTCACAGCGACCCTAGACGGCATACTAGAACTGTCCCCTCAGTTTCCAAGGCTGTAAAGCTTTAAGGGAGCATACATCCACATCTTTCTCCTGAAGAGCAGCTGGTGAGTTCGAACTGCTGACCTTTGGTTTAACAGTCGAATATTTCTAACAAGATGCTACTAGGGCTCTATAATATTGCATCTAATAAATAATCAGCAGTATTGTGTATTCTCATTAATATGTTACCTGAGTTATCTATGTCATTTATTTCCCACATAAAATTTTTATAAAGTCAAGTTTATCACAAACCCAAAAAATCTGAGGTAACTGGTTCTTTAGTTAATTAAAATTTTATTATATTGCTTGGAATAAGGAATTTGGGAGGGGGGTGCCTTTTTTCCCCTCTGAACCTAAAGTTCTTTGTATTCCAAAGAGTTAATTTCTGGTTCTGAATAGTAGCTTGGCTTTGTGATGAAAAGGATGTTGTACAGGCTAACTCTCCCAAGTGGAAAAACAAATGGCTGCTGGTCTCCATTGTGCTCCTTGTTGTTTCATATCTAGAGCATTGTTTCTCTGATAGGGAGGTTGACCTCCCCGGAGAGACTGATTTCATCCAGAAAATGCTGAGACTGATCTAGGGAAAATGGAAACAGGAATATTGTATTTTTCTTTGTTGAATTGCCTTCAGTGAGGGCTAGGTAAAGGCCAAGTTCTGTATTGTTTGGAACAGCATGTGGTCATTCTACTTTTAAACTGTATAAAGGGAAGGGAGCTGAGGCTCCAGACCAAAAAAAAAAACCGCCTCTTTGCACCTGTTACTATATACTACAGAAATGTCCATTCCCTTAAAAATAAGGGGCTGGAGAAAAACTAGAAAAACAGACTTTAAAGAGAAAAATCTGTTTTCTCTTGGACAGTGCTTTTTAAACATTTTCAGTTTTCTACTTTTAGAGGCGTCCACTGCTCCCTTCCTACTACCTCCTTTTCTCCTTACTTTCTAGACAAGAAAAGAAACTGTTTAGTGTGGTTAGCCTTTCCCTACCTCTCCACCTCCTTCCAGGGAAAACTATCCGAAAATAGAGATGGTTAAGGAGTCCTGGTGTGGCGCTGAAGGGTAAACGCTGAACCACAAGTTCATTTGAATTGCAAGGTCAGCAGTTCAAATTCAACAGCCACTCCTCAGAAACCCTATACAGGGTCACTAGGAGTCAGAACTGACTGGATAGCACTTAACAACAGCAACAACATTCTTAAAGGAAACTACTGAGTCATAAAATGAAATAAATGCTGAAAGGTCTTCCAAGTCAGTTATATGTACAGTAGCTGCTGTTGTGTTTAAATACAGAAACCACAAACCTACTTTCCTTTGTGATGTTTTGTTAGTGTAGCAAAGAAAGTATATTTGACTATTTTGCGGACTGTGTTAGAATAAGGGTAGGCCTGTAGTAAGCAGAGAGGGCAATGTTTCTCCTAGGAGACTCCACTGATAGGCACTTGGTTCCGCTAGGGCCTCTTGGTATTCCGTGGTCTGGAGTATGATCAGTTACACTCATGGGAGATCCTGCCCTCAGAGAGAGGTGGTTGTGCCGTGGTTAGTTCCTGGCCTTGCTTCTGTAGCATGCAGATAGTGATGCTTCATTACTCTAGTTTACATGCTTGTTACAGTTTTTGAAGTACAAGTTTTAAATTAAGAAATGATTCTTCACTGGACACAGTCTTTTGTAGTACCAACCTGATGATATTTGTCTAATTTTCCAAAGGAAAGCTCTTTAGAGAAATAATTTTAAATTTCTAATGCATTCTGCCAAGAAATATTTTAGAAATCACAAGTTTTCCATTAGGGAAGTATGTACAGTCTTACTTTTTCTTTGCTTGTATTCCAGATTCTGCTTTACGTTTTTAGAGAAACTGATTAAATTGAGAATGGTCACATTCATGGAAATCAATAGCAAAGTTTCCTCCTCTTTCTCTACACTTCACTCTCAAGGATTTACTCAAGACGCTTTATAACGACTTTGACACTGCTTGCTCTGGAATGTGTAATTGAAAACATTAAAAAACCTCTGTAGATTCTTAATGATTCAGCTGTTTAGCTAAGTCAATCCCTTTTGTATCCAAGTCAGCTTTTAGAATTCTTCACTTTCCCTAAATTTTTGTCAGCATCACTAGAATTGGGCTTTCTTTTTGGTGCCACTTTAGAGCAAGAGTTAAAGCTTTTGTCACTTCATCTCTCTGCATATCAGCAGAGTAGAAAACGAAACTCCTGATGCTTTTCAGTCCCATGTCCTCATTCACTGGTAAAGTGACTTCGCATTATCAGTGGGGTTCTGGTTCATGTCTCAGCCTGTAACTCAAGTTTAATCCCAGGATGTACAGGGAAGGTCAAGTTAAAATCAAATCTGGAAGACATTAGTTGTGGTGATGGTTATTGTTGTTGTTAAGTGCCGTTGAGTCAGTTCCGACCCATAGCGACCCTGAATAGGGTTTCTGAGGAGTGGCAGGTAAGCTTAAAACGCCAACCGTACGGGTCAAACCAACTTTGCAGTCCAGCGCATTAACCCACAGCACCACACCAGGATGGTTAGGTACCATCATGTCAGTTCTGACTCATAGTGACCTTAACGTGTGACAGAAAGAAACACTGCCCAGTTCTGCATCCCCCTCAGTTGTTATGTGTGAGCCTAGTGTTACAGCCACTGTGGTAGTCCATCTCATAGTGACCGTGTGTAACAGTAGAACTGCCCGTAGGGTTGCCTAGCCTTAAATGTTTATGAGCCCTGGTTTTGTGGCACTTTAGCATAAACACTGCTAACTGTGCTAACCACAAGGTTGGCAGCTCAAACCCTGCAGCCACTCTCAGAAACTCTATACAGGGTTGCTGTGAGTCCGAACCAACTCAACAGCACTTCACAACAACAGTTTACAAGAGCACATCACCAAGTCTTTTCTCCCACGGAACCACTTGTTGTTGTAAAGTACCATGGAGTCAGTTCCGACTCATAGTGACCTTGCACAGGGTTTCCGAGGCTGTAAATCTTTATGGGAGCAGAAAGCCTCATCTTTCTCCCGCAGAACAGCTGGTAGTTTTGAACTGCTGACCTTGCTGTTGGCAGCCCAACTCGTAACCACTATGCTACCAGAGCTAGTGAGTCGGAACCACTGACCTCTCATATAGCAGTCAAGTGCTTAGCCATTGTGCCACCTGTCCATGCTCCCCTTTCCTATTTCAGGGCCAGAGGAGGACACTCACCTCCTTGGGATAGAGAAAACTGAGACCAGCCCTGTGCTGTTTGCTTTCCAGCAAGCTCCTATTAGGGATAAAGGGTCAGGTCTCAGAGCATCCTTCACACAGAAAGATGTAGTGCCCCACCAGTGGCAGTCCTGCCTCTGCTCAGTTGCTGTGCTCCTCCCATCAGGACAGGGTGGACTCCACTGGTCTGACATCCTCCAAAGCTGTAATGGTTGGGTGTCAGGCTCTGTATGTGCCCTTTAAATCAGACTTGTTAATTGTAGTGTTCTAATCAAATCTCTTTCCTTACTAATTTTTTTGTCTGCTTTTGACCTATCATTTACTAAGAAGATATGTTGAAGCTTCTCATGAATGTCAGATTGATTGCCCATTTCTCCTTGTCATTTTGTCACCTTTTGCTTTACATTTTAAAGCTCTTTTATTAGAGTTGACAGTGCTCAGCAGTGCAGTTTAAAGTACGTTTGGTATGCTCTATTCAGGATCTGAATGTTTGTAGTAGGAGATCACTATTTTACTACTTAGTTGGTTAGACTGCTGAAAACAGAAGCCCTTCTTCCTTCTTTTTGTTTTTCAGAAATTTATCAGTTTATAGTTCACTGATGACTCCCTTTCCCACTCCCCACTCTACCTTTTATTGGAGGGGTATACATCTGAATTTCATTTTTAAATTTTAACCCTGTTTCATTTCAATAGTATTTAGAAAAGCATCAGAAGTTTTCTTTTCTCTTTCTCTACATGTTCTCCTTAGGTAATTTCATGAAGTTATTTCAATTACCATTTTATAATGATGTCTTCCAAATCTAAATCCTTACCCGACTATAGTCTCTCCTGTTCACTGTAACCTGATGAGTTAGTACCTCTTTTTCTTTATTCTAAAAGTGAGGAGGAAGGTAAGGAGGTAAACTTGTGGTCCATCTAGCATTTTACCCAGCCTTGATCAGAACTCACTGAATGTAATCATCACCATAATTAACATTTATTGAGTGCTTACTATGTGCCAGCCCCTCTTCTACATGCTATACGCTTATTAACTTAGTCTTCCCAACAGTCTTAGGAGGCAAATACTGTTGTTATTCCCAATTTACAGATAAGCAAGCTAAGGCACAGAGAAGGGAAATTCCTTGACATAGTTATATAGTGTCTAAGTGTGGAGTCAGGAATCAAACTCAGACTTTCAGTACCTCGAATCACTTCCTGCTTGAAATTATCCAGTAGAATCCCATTCCAAAATCCAAGCAACTCAGCGTGTCATTTGTATTCTTTATGATCACGTCCATCTTACCTTTCCAGTCTCATCTCTCGTTGGCTCTTCCTTTTTAACCTCTGACCTGAATGCACCAATGTTCTCACAGTTCGTGTACCTTTGTCATGCTGTTCCTCTGCCCTCCACACTCTCATGGCTTCCAGAATGCTCAGTGTGGTGTTAATGTATTGCAGCATATACTTGTAAACTGAATATTTGAATACTTTATTTCACCTAGTAAGCAAATCATGCTTTTAATTTGTTTTGATTTACCATGTCATCTTGAAAAACATATGATTGGTAAAATAATAGTACTCCGTTATGTACAAAGGGTTTATAAGTCTAACAGATGACCCAAAATTATTTCCTCAAAATTTTATTGTATAGAAAGGGAAATTTTAGGGTTCTTTTGGAAGTATAAGTTAAAAAGTATACTTTAAATATAGTAAATGCATTAATTTCACTCATTTGTTAGTAAAATGTTTTCTAATCTTATCTTGCTGTTTTACTTTATAGCATTTTCTTCCTCTTGCAAATTTGGAATGTTCACCAAATGTTGAAACTTTCCTTTGCAAAGCTTTTGTACCAAACTGCACAAAACAAATTGACGTGATTCCACCTTGTCGTGAATTTTGTGAGAAAGTATATTCTGATTGCAAAAAAATAATTGATACTTTTGACATCCATTGGCCTGAGGAACTTAAATGTGACAGGTAAATTGTATTTTTTGCTAAAAGCTATTGATGGTATTTTAATATTGGTTAGCTCTCCAAAATGCTTGTGACTTCAACAAATGTTTATTGCATACCTGATCAATACCTGACACTGTTGTAGTTAAGTGTTGGGGACACAATGGTAAGTGAAAAAGACATGATTCTTTCTCTCAGGGAATGTACAATATGGTGGTAGAGAAAGATACTCATCAAATAATGATACAAATAAATGCAAAACTGCAGTTGTGGTCAGTGCAACAAAGGAGAGGTGCATAGTTCTGTGAGAACATGGAATGGCACATTGTACCTAAACTGGGGCCAGAGAAGGTTTCTTTGAGGAGATGGCTATTGAGCTAAAGTATAAAAAAGACTGAAGTAACTTAGCAGTGAGGGAAGGAAAGAGGGAGCAGCTTGTCCAGAGGCCCTGTGGCAGAAGAGAGCTTGGCATATCCAGGGGATTACAAAAGGCCTTGTGGCTAGAGTGATTTGAGGAAGCGTGTGGGCAAGGTAAGGAAGGAGCTGGTGTAGTACATGCTTTCAGGCTCCGGATGGATAATGAGAAGCTTGTGAGGTATTAAAGATAGCAACTGGGGGACAGGGTGGGGATGCACATGTTGGCTTCTGTATGTAGAGCAGGGTTCTCAGGTCACAACCTGATGAGAGCTGGTGTTTCTTGTACAAGGAAATGTTATTGTCTTCATTTTTATAAATAAGTCTTCCAGGCTTTTATAATATTTTCTTTACTTTGGAAGCACACACACAAAAATAAGCTTCTGATTGGAAGACTAATTCTGACCTCTTTAAAAGTTTTAGCATAATGAAAACTGTAACATATTTAGCTTTGTAGTAAAAACATATCAACACATACTATTTGCAGTACCATTCATTTCTATGGTGATGGCCTGTGTAGAAATCTGGGCTACCCAGGAGTGCCTTTGTCCTGGAAGTAATGTAAAAAGTTCCTGACTTATCTGAGGCCCTTACAATCCTCAGCGTGTCGAAGCGTCTTGTGTACATGAGGAGCTTTGTGGCAAGTGGGCTTTCTTTTCAATTCTGGGTCAAGCATTGATGGCTTGTCAATAAATTAATTCCTCTTGTTGGAGCCTATGTTGTTGTTCAATGCCATTGAGTCAGTCACAGCACATAAGCACCCCTGTATAGGGTTTCTGAGGAGGGGCTGGTGAGTTTGAACCACCAGCCTTGTAGTTGGGTGCTTATCCTACCGAGTTGTAGCCTATAGCACTTCTTATTGCTTTCTTTCCCTACAATAATGTATATTCACCATACTACTCAAGGGTCTATGGAATCTTACCATCTTCTGTTATGTTTTTCTCTCATTCTTTTTCTGTCCTTGTTATAATAGCCTTTTCCCCTAAAAAGCATCTCTACCTAGCTTTCTCTATCCTATATAATCTTCTTGTTTGTTTGTCTTTACATCAGTTATGAATATATAACTGATGAATTACAGTTGAAAAGCATAGCATTAAAATAGTGTATCAGTAAAAATGTTGATGTTGTATATTAATTTTTATACTCTTTACAGATTGAAATACTGTGATGAGACCATTCCTGCAACTTTAAATCCACCCACAACGTTTCATATCGCTCAGAAGAAAACAGAACAAGTCCATAGAGACATTGGATTTTGGTGTCCAAGGCATCTCAAGACCTCTGGGCTGCAAGGCTTTAAGTTTCTGGGCCTTGACCATTGTGCACCTCCATGCCCCAATATGTATTTTCAAAACGATGAGCTAGAGTTTGCAAGAAGTTTTATTGGAATTGTTTCGATATTCTGTTTTTGTGCAACTCTGTTCACATTCCTGACTTTTTTAATTGATGTTAAAAGATTTCGATATCCAGAGAGACCTATTATATATTACTCTGTCTGTTATAGCATTGTATCTCTTATGTACTTCATTGGCTTTTTGCTGGGCAACAGCACAGCCTGTAATAAGGCAGATGAGAAGGTGACCCATGGTGACACAGTTGTTCTCGGCGCTCAGAATAAGGCTTGTACTGTTTTGTTTATGTTTTTGTATTTTTTCACAATGGCTGGGACTGTATGGTGGGTGATTCTTACCATTACTTGGTTCTTAGCTGCAGGAAGAAAATGGAGTTGTGAAGCCATTGAACAAAAAGCAGTTTGGTTCCATGCTGTCGCCTGGGGAGTTCCAGGTTTTCTAACTATTATGCTTCTTGCTATGAACAAAGTTGAGGGAGACAATATCAGTGGAGTTTGCTTTGTTGGCCTTTATGACCTGGATGCTTCTTGCTACTTTGTAGTTTTGCCACTATGCTTCTGTGTGTTTATTGGGCTGTCTCTTCTTTTAACTGGAATTATTTCTTTAAATCATGTTCGACAAGTTATACAACGTGATAGCCGTAACCAAGAGAAACTAAAGAAATTTATGATTCGGATTGGAGTCTTCAGTGGCCTGTATCTTGTCCCGTTAGTGACACTACTTGGATGTTACATCTATGAGCAAGTGAATAGAATCACCTGGGAAATGACTTGGGTCTCTGACCATTGCCGTCAGTACCACATCCCATGCCCTTATCAGGTAAAGGCTGTCGTTTGAATTATTTGGCTATTTCAATTTAACTTTAAAAAGGTCCCCTGGAAATTTATCTCTATTAGTCAATGAACATAGAATCGGGTTTCAGGTAAGAATATAGTCTATACATCAGCTGAAACTGAGAAAAATGTATTGAGTTCACTCTAAGTTTTAGCTTCAGTTAAAATCATAAATGTCTTCTTTAGCTATTATTTTTTTTTCAAATGAAGTTGCAGAAGCAATTAAGCTATTTTATCATTTCTTAATTAAAAAAAAAAACAATTGAAGCAAAATGTTTCATTGTATTTAATATTTGTCATTAGTACTACTGCGGTGTTTTTAAGATTGTAGTAGTCAATTTCAGAATATTAATCTTTAAAGCAGTGTTATTTATAGAAATTTTGTTTTTAAATAACTTTTAATCATTATTCTTGAATATTTTTATATTAAATATATTAAGTAATTGTACCATCACAGTATGTCAAGTCAAGTAATGTGTGGGCTTATTTGTTTCACATAGTAATTTATATCCTAGAAAGTAGAACCTATATTTTATATTGATGTGAGAGTTTTTTTTGCTCACTTTACAATTTACCAACAGTCTATTTTTACTATATACTCAATAAGACAACTGTGTCTTAAAGTGCTCCTACTATGTTGTTAACAATGTTTCCCAGAGTCCTCAGTCTTATTGACAAACTGGAATAATAAACACATACTATTAAAACCTTTAAGATCTACAGTTTGTAACCATCATATTTTATGAAGGAAAACCTATAAAATATTAAAAGATAAAATAATTTTATAATCTTATAATGTAGGACTTTATATAAATATAATATAAAACATAAAAACCATAAAATAATTGTGGTTCAAGCTCACCAGCTGCTCCTTGGAAACCCTATGCAGGGTCACTATGAGTCAGAACTGACTCGATGGCACTTAACAACTTAACTAAGTAAAAAACTGAACATCTTAAAAACACCATAATATATATATATATTTTAATGGAGAAATTTATTTGTAACTCAAACAATCTGGTATAAAAAGGAGAAAAGATTATGAAGAAGGATCACCAAAAAGGCAAATCAAAAGACGTTTTTTAAGCATATGAAATTTTATACTAACAGAAATGCAAATTATAATAAAATTAAATTCTTATAACATGGAAAAAAATTCTAAAGGTTTTATAACCATTGTGTTGGTAAAAGTGTGACAAAATAAATCTTACAAGACTTTGCTATTGAAAGTTTCAATTAGTGCAGCCTTCTGTGGAGAGTAATTGAACAATATCAATCAGGTTTTAAATGTGTATGCTCCTTATCCAATCACTTTGGGAATGTATAAACAGATCTTTTCATGAATGTGTAAGAAATTACACACGTGCAAAGTTAGTCTCTGTAACATTATTTGCAATGATAGTAGATTCGAAGTAAGTTAAATATCCCTTAGAGATAGTTGAATAAATCATGGGTCAGCCATAGAACAAAACAGTAGACAGCCTTTAAAAGGAATAAAGAGTTCTGTTGGTTCTGATATAGAATGGGTTCCAAGAAATATTATTAAATGCCAAAAGCATGATATAGTTAATGTTTACCACTTTGACATTTATGCAGTGTTTTAAAAATAATATATGAAATTATGCTTGGAAAAAAATAGTTCATTTTATGAAATTTCTACATTTTAGCATTTGGGGGATATTGATGCTTATTTTTTTCTAACTAACCAAGTTTTTAACATAGATTATAAAGTAATGTGTTATTATAATGAGTCTAAATGTAATTTGAGTGTTGGGTGTTTGGTAGATTATTGTGAAGGAAAATTGATAAATATTTAAAGGCAGATAGTTGGGCCATTTTAAGATACTAATTTACCTTTCAGGGGGAGATGTCAGGAAGTCCATATTTCATTACCTTGTCCTTTCTAGTTCTATATTTTATTAGACATGTAAAGGTTCACCCTAGTTGTTCAGAACTTCAGCTCAACAATGCATTGTACTTAAAATGTTATTCATTATATGATGTTATTTGCAGTCTCTTCTAAAATGAACTTCAAAGATTTATACTTTTTGTTCAGTGTTTACATTGATTATGTAGGCTTTCTCTCTACTTTAAACGTACTACTAAACATTTTATTATTTCCATTCCCCGCCACTTTTTCTTGCAGGCAAAAACAAAAGCTCGACCTGATTTGGCTTTATTTATGATCAAATATTTGATGACATTAATTGTTGGAATCTCTGCTGTCTTCTGGGTTGGAAGCAAAAAGACATGCACAGAATGGGCTGGGTTGTTTAAACGAAATCGCAAGCGAGAGTAAGAACCTATTTCATTTTCTGACATTGTTTTAAAATAAGCAGATCAAACACCAAGGAATTGTTCAAATCATCATTTTACTGGCATTTAATTGCATTAACTATTGCTTGAATTTGATAAGCTACCTGATGTTGGAAATCTGTCATGGAGGAATGTATTTTATTTTGGCACTTGATGCATATATACTATTCTATTTATTTTTTATTATTTTGAGTGACATTTTAAATAGTTATCTCTCTCTCTTTTTTTTTTCAATAAAGTGAGGAGGAAACCCTATACAGGGTTGCTGTGAGTATTAACCAACTCGACAGCACGTAACAACAACAACAAATGGGATCAAGTATAAAAGCAACAACAACAAATGGGATCAAGTATAAAAGCATATCTGTAACGTACAAGTTAATGTAAATAATGGGTATTGTCATTATTTACTGTTGTTGAGTGCTGTTGAGTCAGTTCCAACTCATTGAGGCCCTATCTAGGTTGCAGAATTGGTTCCGACTCATAGCAATCCTGTATAGGGTTTCCAAGGCTTTAAATCTTTGCAGGAGCAGAAAGCCTCATCTGTCTCCCACGGAGCAGCTGGAGAGCTGGACCACAGACCTTGTAGTTTATTATATGAAGACCTTGTATTTATTATCATATAATAAGTGTGCTTATTATATGAAGCCATTGCATTACCTTGAAATTTGTTGTAACTTCTACTAATTTACCCTCACTAAATGGGTCGGAACCGACTCAATGGCACTTAACAACAACAACAACAACAACAACAAAGTAGACACTGGAGTCCTGGTGTGGTGCTGTGGGTTAATGCACCCACTGGACTGCAAAGTCGGTTTGAACTGCAAAGTTCAAGCTCACCAGTTGCTCCTTGGAAACCCTATGTTGTTGTTGTTAAGTGCCTTTGAGTCGGTTCCAACCCATAGCGACCCTGTACAGGGTTTCCTTACGGGAGTAGAAAGCCTCATCTTTCTCCCGCGGAGCGGCTGGTAGTTTCGAACCGCTGGTTCGCAGCCCGATTCGTAACCACTACGTATACAGCTCACCAATTGCTCCTCGGAAACCCTCATCAGTTGCTCCTCGGAAACCCTATACAGGGTTTCTATGGGTCAGAACCAACTCAACGGCATTTAACAACAACAACAAAGTAGACACTAAAATTCACAGAATACTATGGAACAATGTACTCGAGTCATATTTTCATAAATGCTGCTGTGCCAATTTTTTTTACAGGTTGCTGTAAAAAAATTAGCATAGTGTGTTTACAAAAATACCTCCTGGCAGGAGGGACTGGTTGACAAACAAAAGTAGAACGCTTGTATTATCTACTTTAAAATACAGTAAATAGTTCATTCCAGTTATTTATAGACATCATACACAACTATCAACAAAGTACTCTGAAGTTTGGAAACTGGCCCACATAGGTATGATTAGTGAAAGGTTTTTGTGGTATAAATTTTAGAACTGTAGACCTTTTCGCAAATAATTTTTAAGGTCAAAAAGTGGGCTTTAAACTTTTTTCACTATTATTATAGGGAGTCTTGATATGGCAGTGTAGAATAAGCACTGGAATACTATCCATAAGGTCAGGGGTTCAGACCCACCAGTCTCTCCTCGGAAACTCTATATAGGGTTTTAGTAACAATAATGTATCTTAAAGTATTTTTAATCTCAGATTTTACAAATACTATAAATCACCTAGAATTTCTAATTTTGATGCATAATGATTTTGGGGCAAAGATATACTTTTCAGAGTCTCAGGTGTTATAGTTAAATGCTTGACCACTACCCTTCAACAGGTACCTCAGAAGAAAGGTCTGGTAATCTATTTCCAAAAGGTCACAACCTTAAAAACCTTATGGAATGCTGTTTTACTTTGCACACACGGGGTCACCATGAGTTAGAATAATTTTGATGGTGGCTTATTTGTTTTTGTTCATTTTTTTGGCTTCTACTATACCAATTAACAAGTAAATTTTTTCCTTGCATTTTCTTACAGTACAACCCGAGAGGGTAGAAAAGTGCTACAGGAGCCATCTGAGTGTTTCCTAAAGCACGGTTCTAAGGTCAAACACAAGAGGAAGCACTACAGAGCAAGTTCCCACAGGCTGAAAGTCATTTCCAAATCCATGGGAACCAGCACAGGAGCTACAGCAAACCATGGCACTTCTGCAGTAGCAATCACTAACCATGATTACCTAGGACAAGAAGCTGCTACGGAAATCCAGACCTCACCAGAAACGTCAGCGAGAGACAAGGGAGCAGATGGGGCAAGCACTCCCAGGTTAAGAGAACCAGACTGTTGTGAACCTTCCTCCCCAGCAGCATCCAGCTCCCAACTCTGTGGGCAGCAGGCAAACGGAAAAGACAAGAGCAGTGTATCTGAAAGTGTGCAGAGTGAAGGAAGGTAAGATGGCAAAATCATCACTATTTGGAATATTGCATTGTACATTTTTTTATGAAAGCATAGCATTTCTGAGAAGAAAGTATTTTATAGCACAAAAGATCATGTCTATATACTTAATTCAAATTTTCTAGGAAGTTGTTGTTGTTGTTATGTGCCGTGGAGTCAGTTCCGACTCATAGCGACCCTGGACAGGGTTTCCGAGGCTGTAAATCTTTACAGGAGGAGAAAGCCTCATCTTTCTCCCGTGGAACAGCTGGTAGTTTCGAACTGCTGACTGTGAGGTTCACAGCCCGACTTGTAACCACGACGCTGCTAGGTGCTGCTTATAAACATACTATGTAGTAGTTTAATTCTTGCTTTGAGAAGAGCCTTAATGTTACATTGTTTAAGTAGGGAAATAATGTTTATTTGCATGGTAATTGTTAAGAGTTGTTTGCTTATGTAGGTGAATATTTAAAGTTCATCTGAAACATAAACCATTAAGTCTTCATTGTTGTTGTTAAGTGCCATTCAGTCAGTTCAAATGCATAGTGACCCTGTATAGGGTTCCATAGGAGCAACTGGTGAGCTTGAACCACCAACCTTGCAGTTCAAACCGACCTCAGTTGGTTGATTGGTTGGTTAGTTGATTGGTTGATTGATTGGTTGGTTATGTGCCCTGGAGTCAGCTCCGACTCATAGCGACCCTGTATAAGGTTTCCAAGGCTGTAAATTACTACAGGAGCAGAAAGCCTCCTCTTTCTCCCACAGAGCAGTTGGTAGTTTCAAACTGCTGGCCTTGAGGTTAGCAGCCTGACTCGTAGCTACTAGACTACCAGAGCTCCTTAAACTGACCGTTGTTGTTGTTGTTAAGTGCCGTCAAGTCAATTCTGACCTATAGCAACCCTATGTTATAGGGTTTCCAAGGAGCAGCTGGTGAGTTTTAACCTCCGACTTTGCAGTTCAAATGACTTTGCAGTCTGGCACATTAACTCATAGCGCCACACAGTGCTGCATTATTGCACTTTTAACAGACATTTGTCGTTTTATACAAAGATGATTATTAAATATTTTTATTTTCTAAACCTGAGTGGATATTAACATTATCTTTAATGAATTTTCCCAGATGGTCATAGGTGAGCAGAACAGAGGCAAGCATGTAATTAAACAGAATGCTGACAGCCAACTATTTTAATGTTTCAGGATTAAGAGGTTAGCTTAGTAGCGTAGTGGTTACAAATCGGGCTGCGAACCTTAAGGTCAGCAGTTTGAAACTACCAGCTGTTCCACGGGAGAAAGAGGAGGCTGTCTGTTCCAGTAAAGATTTGCACCCTTGGAAAACTCTGCACAGGGTCACTATGAGTCGGAACCGACTCCACGGTACTTAACAACAACAAAAATAGCCCTTCCAAACTCAGCAAAATTCACTCTTTCTGTATTCCCATGACACTTCCCATATACCTGGATTGTAGTTGGACATGTGCTTTTTTTCTACTTGATTTGTGCACTCTTCAAAGGCACAGCTGAGCTCTTAACTTTGAATGGGAGCCTCTCCCATAGTGGGAAGTCAATAAAATATTTGTTAAGCTAAGGATGGGAATCCTATTTTACTAATTGTATTCCTCATGAAACACCATGTTCAGTTCATGAGTAGTGATGTTTGAAATCAGCAAAAAATGTATTTGATAATAAATTATTTGCATTTTGAAGTTTTGGAGTATACATAAAGAGCTTTCATTAATTATCCTTTGATAGATAGCAATTATAAGGTCATCTGACACCATATTTGTGCTGGTATATACATGTATGTCAACTTTCTTTCTTTTATCTAGGGTAAGTCCAAAAAGCGATCTGACTGAAACTGTCCTAGTGCAGAGCGACCACTTGCAGATCCCCAGTTCTTCACAGCCAGGCAGCCTCAGAGGCTCCGCTTCACTGCTGGTTCCCTCTGTTTCAGGCGTTAGAAAAGAGCCAGGTACAGCCAGTCACTCCGATGCTTGAAACAGAGTTTCTTAAAGAGGATTCATGTTACACTGGAAATTGCAATGCACTCTCTTTAAAGAATCACTGTTACATTCTTATTTTGCACTCAAAGCTATAGTCCTGCTGTTACACTGGAAAAAGAAATAGGGTTCAAGGATAACATTTCATTTCATAGAAAGGTTAAAGACAACAAACAATATACCTAAAAATGGAAATGTGCAGATTGATAATATTTTTTAAATCATGTGGGATGGGTGAGTTAAAGGAATCGTCTTTTTTCTATTTATGATTTTACTCTTGTTAAAAGCATTTTAAAGACCAGACTTACTGGTTGGAAAGAGACTACAGGAACCCCTGAGACAGCCTTCTGACTTGAAACTGAAGACACTGGAGGCCACCTTATTTCCACCTTCCAAAGTATCAATGGGGCTAAAAAACACCAACACACCTGGGAAGAGTGTACACCTCACAATAGTTCATAATGAGACCAAAGAAGAAAAGACAGGGAGGGAGAGGGGAACCTGGCCAACGGGACTGGAAGGTCAGGGAGGGGAAGGAGAGAGTGCTGATGCTTGCTGGGGATTGCATCCCCGTCACAGGTCAATTTGGGTATAAATTATTGATTAGGAAAACTAATATCTATATAAACTTTCACCTGAAGCACAATAAAATGTGTTTATTTTTTAAAGTATTTTTAAATGTACTATGCTATTTCACTTTAATGATATAACATCCAGATTTGTCTTTGCTGAAATATTTACAGTTTGTCATGGTTCTTTTTTGTATTTGAAAGTTAGTTTTTATGTATTTGAATTTTTTTTTTCTTTTTTTTTGGAATCCTGGAATCATTCTGATATTTTAGCAATACTTTTGTAACTTTTACACTGAATTTCTAAGAAAATTGAAAAAGTACTTTTATAGTATAAAAAAATAGTTGACACACCAAAAGGTTGTTATGGTGGGAATTCAACTTAAAAAAAAAAAAAAAAAGCCAAAACTTAATTGTGTGAATTTTATAAGATCCCGTTATTTTAGAAATCTCAGAGATCTATTATGCAACTGAAATAAGGTGCTTACTGAATTTTCAGTGTTGATTGTGTCGTGCTGCTCACTGACTCTTCTGTGTGTTTTTTTAAATATGTCCTGAAGGAATAGTAGATGAAATATGTCCTGAAGGAATAGTCTTTTATAAATTAAGCTTTAGTGCAATTGATTTCTTCTTTGTTTAATGGTTCATGACCACCCAAGATTGTATGACCATTTACAGTTTACGTACAGTTTTGTTTTTAACATTAAGAATAGTTCAAATACTTTGTACAATATCGTTACCAGACATGATGTAGAATTTATTTCTACAACTAGGTATGATCATTCAAATGTATAATAGTTAATATTAATGTGCCAATGAAATGGTACAGAAAATATAATCCTGACAAAATGTATTTTAATCAACATAGCTAAAATTTTTTAACATTTTCTTAATTTTGTGTCCCAGTAAATATTATTACTTGAATAGTATTTTTTCTAATGATTTTCATTTTCTCTCTATTTAGCATTCTATTAAAACAAAAAATGATCATGTACTGTATGGGAAATGTCCACATTTTTAAACAGAAAACTTTGTATACAAATTTTTGTTTTACATGATCTTTTCATTAATAAAATGCTCTTTGTATAAGACACTGAGAAGTAGTATTCTATGGGTAGGTCCTGGCCCATGAAATGCTATCATTTCTTAGATTAGTGGTTCCTTGACAGCATCTAGAAGCTTCTGGTTTTTTGAATAAGAAAGTACTAGACAGTCAAGGCTCCTTTTTGTCAGAATTTATTCCTGAAAAATGTAAATTATACAGCCATATTTACCATAATATTCTTTAAAATTTTATTGTGGTAAAATAGAGCCATTTTGAAAAAACTTTTTATTGTGAATGAAATGAAGGTTTACAGACAAGATTATCAGTCTTACTTCAGCAAATCATAAACTTTTTCATCTCAATGATTGCAATCCTCTCCATACAACAGTTTATCCCACTTCCTCCCTGTGGTTCCTATTTCCATTCCGCCCACTGTTACCATCCCTTTTCAACTTTGTTCTTGGCTAAATGTTGCATTTTTTATTTTGAATGAATGATCATTCCATGGTGAGCATACCTTACTAATGCTGCTGTCCCCCTTATATACCTATCTACCACTCGTCTGTCAGTTTGTCATACTGTGGTGGCTTATGAGTTGCTGTGATTCTGAAAGCTATGCCACCAGTATTTTAAATACCAGCAGGGTCACCCGTGGTGGACAGGTTTCAAATGAGCTTCCAGACGAAGACAGAACTACTTCCGAATATTTAGTCACTGAAAATCTTATGAATGGCAGAGAAATACTGTCAAGTATAGTGCTGGAAAATGAGCCCCTCAGGTTGGAAGGTACTCAAAATGCAACTGGGTCTGCAATACATAAGACTATAGATCTTATGTATTGCCTGAACCATATCCAGATCTCCAGAGATGGGAAATTTCCACTTGAAAGGACGAGCAGACCAGCCTGGAACAGCTAGAAGAATGGAAGATACTTCTTGAAAGAAAGACCTACAGGAAAAATACAAAACAGTAGAGGCAGACGGACTGTTACTACAAGAACAAACAAGTTGATTATCCAGAAAACATCAAGGCAAGTGATTGGGTCCCCTCAGTGCAAACCCCCTTCCAAGACTAAGACTCAATGGGAATATATGCTCTGATTGGTGACCACACTCGTCACTGATAAAGGAAAGTGAGGGCAAAACAGCAATGAAGTGGCGAGCTAAGCCCTACAATGTGGAGAGTGAAGCATTCAGCTGATAAAAAGGGCATATGCACAAGAACACCCACACTTGCAGATAATACCCACTTGACCTGG